CCCCCTGGGAAGGATGACAGTGGCCCTTGCCACGACACTACACGGTGGCTGTGAGGACGAAGCGAGCTGCAAACTGACCAGTGTTGCGCACAGAGCCCGGCCAGGTGTGCCCCATCATCACGTTGTCACCATCATCGTGTCCCCTCCAGAACAGGCTGCCACCCCTGGCCAAGGACCTGCTGTGGGAGCCGGCCACGCCGGGGCCCCTCCCCCTGCTGCCTCCTGGCCCTGGTAAGGAGCACCTTTCTGAGGGTCACCGGGCTGCCCCACCATCACTTCCCTGCAACACCTCCTGCTCCTTCCTGCAGATCCTTGGGACCCCGGTGTGACTGCGCAGGACCTCCTGTTCCGTACAGGTTACCTGTACCGCCGGCGACCACGCGTCGTGCTGGATGTCACCGAGCAGGTTGGCGGCCCCGTGGGGTTGGCGTAACGAGCGGGGGGCAGGGGCAGGGGGCTGTGCCGGGCTCCTGCTCCCACAGCTCAGCCGGTTTGTGTAGGATCATGGGGACATGAGCAGGCGGTCAGTGCCCACCGGTGGCAGCTGTGCCTGGTGACTGGCCCCTCTGCTCCCCCAGGTCGGCACCCACTGGCAGGAGGCTGTGCCTGGTGACCGGCCCCTCTGTTCCTCCAGCTCAGCCGCTTTCTGTGGGATCATGGGGACATAGCCTTTGCACCCCTGGGGAAACTGATGCTGGAGAATTTTGAACTGGACGGAGACCCGGTGAGTGAGCAGTCGCTCTCAGACCTGGCTGGCCAGGTTCGTGGCCTGCCCAGGGCACCGTGCGGGCAGCCTTCGGGCGTGCGTGGCTCTAACGAGGCCCTCCCCTACAGAAACGCACTAAGAAGCGCACGATGGTGATTGTGAAGAGGCTGCTGGAGGACCTCGGAGGATACCAGCCATGGGGGCAAGTGGCTCAGGAGAGAGGGCGGACGGACAGGCTTGGTCGCCAGGGGCGGGCCCGGGGCTGGGCCACGGCTGCAGATCCTGCGCAAAACTCCCGCCGGCCAAGGGGAAAGGGGTCTTGCGGCTGACGGACAGGACAGGGGCTGGCTGGCTGGGCACAGTTTTTGGGATGTCTGCTCGCTCTCTCATCCGCTTCCTCTGCCTGGCCAATTTCTTAGACAGCTTTCCAGTGGCGGTGACATGTTTCAGGACTGAGGGAAGGAGCCGCTGTCCTCTCTGTCGCCCACTCTGGCCTTCCCGTCCACAGGTGTCCCTGGGCTTCCCTCAGCCATCGGCAGCGCCGTTTCTCCTTCCTGGGGGGCTCAGTGCTGGGCAGGTCGGTGGCCAGCGTGCTGGGGGAGCTGCTGCACGAGGAGCTGGCCATGCGCTGGGAGCAACTCCTGCTGGACGAGGCCTTCACTGGGGGCGCCTTGGCCTGGCTCCCTGGCAGGACGCCCCGAGTCGGACAGCTGGTCTACCCTGCTGGGGGTGCCCTGGACAGCCTCCGTATCCTTTGCCCAGGTCCTTCTGGGTTCCCTCTGGCGTGGCACAGGGGTAGGAGCTGGGGGGCATGGAGGGTGGTGTGAGCACTGAGCACAGATCCTTAGCAAGGAGTCCAGACTTCCAAGAAGTCAGCCTGGCCTCCAGCGGCAGGCCGCGCGTTCTTGGAACCTCTGGACGCATCCAGCTCCGGGGACCTGTCCGGCAGGTGGTGACCTGCACCGTGCAAGGGGAGGGTAAGGCCCTTGGGCACCCCCATCCGTCCCTCCCTCGCTGACCCATTATCTGAGTGTGGGCACTGAGCCCTGAGCCCCAGCCTTCTCCTCGCTCCCTCAGCCTTGCTAGCCGTGCGCTCCAGCTACCACTGTGCCGTGTGGAAGGTGGGGAAGCAGGGGCCGCCGACCCCTCTGCAGGTGCTGCAGGTCAGGAAGGGTGCTGCGGGCATCAGCCTCAGGTGAGGGGCAGGTGTGGCTGGGCAGCAGGGCAGGGCCTGGGCCAGGGGACAGCCCGCTGACCTGTCTCCCCCTGTACTCTAGCCCTCACCTGCCAGGGGAGCTGGCAGTCAGCAGCCACTCTGGAACCATCTGTCTGTGGACCCCCGAGGATGGGTAATGCCCCTTCCCCTGGTTCCCTCCCCTCCCACCCATCCAGCCACTCCTTGCCTCACCACCCCCCGACTTTCCTCTCTTCCCAAGGCTGCGGCAAGTGTACAAGGACCCTGAGACCCTCGTGTTCCGCGACCCGTCTCCCTGGCGCTGGGCGGACTTCACTGCCCATCCTCGGGTGCTGACTGTGGGTGACCGCACTGGCGTCAAGCTGGTGGACACTCAGGTATGGGGCTGGGCCGAGGCCTCCTAAGTGCAGGAGGAGTGGGGCAGACTGAGGCTGACCCCGCATCTCCGCAGGGCCCTCCCGGCTGTGGTCTGCTGCTTTTCCGTGCTGGGGCAGAAGCTTCCTGCCAGAAGGGGGAGCGTGTGCTGCTCACCCAGTACCTGGGGCTGCCCAGCCCTGGGGCACTCCCTCCCACGATGCATCTTATCTGTACCCAGGTGAGTGCCCCCAGTCTGGTCCTCCGCTTGGCCTCAGGATCGCCACAGCCTGCTTCTGGGCTGACGCAAGGCCATGTGCCTGGTGGGCAGGCCAGCGGAGAGGAAGCTCTGCAGTGTGACCACGGGTGGCAGGTAGAGCAGTCCCATGGGAGGAGCAGCTGAGGTGACCACCACCACCATGCAAAGCCAGGATGTTAGTGGGCATGCCTCAAGCCCACATCAGGGTCAGCCAGATGTGGATATGGCCACTGAGACCCTGCAGCTCCACCTGGGCTAGGCCTACAGGGGCCTTAGCCAACCCCTGAGCCCACCGCCTTCTCGTCCCCAGTTCTCGCTCTATCTGGTGGACGAGCGCTGCCCTCTGGTGCCAATGCTCAAGTGGGACCATGGCCTCCCCTCCCCACCCCTGCTGGCCCGGCTGCTGCCCCCACCTCAGCCTGGCTACCCACAGCCCCTGCTCCTGGGCGCTCATGGCGGGCAGCTGCAGCTGCTTCAGCTCACAGGTGAGAACCCACCAGGGTGGGGTGGAGGTGGGTGGAGGTGGGTGGGCTGGCCAGCCCTGAGCAGGGCCTCATGCATCTGTCCTTCCTGCAGGAGACATGAGCTCCACACCCAGGCTGGCAGGACCGCCCCAGTCGCTCCCGTCCAGGACCGACTCCCTCTCTGCCTTCCCCTTGCTGGAGCCCAGGAGCCACTGGCAGCTGCAGGAGCGCCTGGCAGCACCAGCCATAGGTAAGCTGGGCTGGCGGGGAGGAGCACCTGGGAGCACCAGCCGTAGGTAAGCTGGGCTGGCGGAGAGAAGCGCCTGGGAGCACCAGCCATAGCTGTGTTGGGACAAACTGAGTTGGGGGCACCCCCACAGGCTTCAGGGTCCCCGTCACCCCATCTGCAGGTCTGGCTGCTGCCTTTGTCCCCATGGCCCCGACACCAGCACTGTCGGTCTTCCAACTCTCGTCGGCGGGAGACATCTTCTACCAATACCTCCACCTCCAGACCAAGTCCAGCCCCGGCCAGGACAAGCCTGTGCCTGACTGCCAGACCTCCCCGAACAAGCCACCCACATGCCCCACTTCCTGGACGCCCCAGGCCACTGCCTGCTGCGCCCGGTGGCTGGATGCCTTGCTGGAAGTACCCCCGACCCCCCCAGTTTGGGCTGCGCCCACCTTTTCCCACCGACGACTGCTCCCTCGACTGGACGCCCAGTATGTTGGAGGGAAGGTGCCAGAAGTCCTCCGGACGGCCATGGCTGAAGGGCGGCTTCTGCAGCCCAAGGACCTGGGCTCGCTGCCTGCAGCTGAGCCACCTCCCGCACCGGAGTTGGGCCCAGAGGACGAGCTCAGTGAGCGCCTCGGGGAGGCCTGGGAAGGCCGCGGGGCCGCCTGGTGGGAGCGGCGGCAAGGCGGGTCAGTGGAGCCCCGCAGGCAGCTCAGGCGGGCCAAGCGGCGGACACAGCTGTCCAGCACCTTCTCCTTGCTCAGCAGCCAACTGGACCTCTCCGGTGCCAACAGCCCGCCTCCCACCCTGGACCGGACATGCCTGGAGGCCAGACCATGTTCCCCAGTTACTTCAGCTTCCCAGGAGTCCAGGGCTCAGGGTGTCCTCTTGGAGCGGCGGCAGAGCCTCCGGAGCTACGGGGCTGAGCTACCCCTGCAGAAGGACACCCCAGACTGTGCCGCCACAACCCCCTCTCAGGTCGCTGGCCTCCGGGCCACCCCTTCCCAGCATCGCACCCCTGTCTTCCCCAGCCCTCAGCCCCAGCGCAAGAGGCCTCGCATGGGCTTCTGAGGGTGCAGGCTGGGTGCCTGGTGCCTTCCACGGGACATAGCAACCTCCAGCCTGCCCTGGGCTGAGGGATCCCAGTGTGGCTTGCAGCAAGTCTGAGGGTACTTGACCTGTTTGCCTGCTGGTAATTGCATAAGGCCATTGCAAGGTACTGGCAGTCTGACCCTCTTGGTGGTACCAGGAGGCAGGTTCTCAGGTGAACCAGGTGGGCAGTGACAGCCCCTTGCCAGTGCACTACCTGGCAGTGCCACTCGGGGACAGTGCAGCATGGTGTACAACTGCTATGGGTGTGAGTAGAGAGAGGCACTGACTGCCAGCTCAGGGCAAATAAAATGAACCACTCTCCTGGACTGGGCTCTTGGCACCAGATGCGGGAGGCCTTGTTTCTTGTGCAGTACACATCTGTTCTCCCATGGGAGACAGCTCTCACGGGAAACCTTCCAGGCCCCAGGGTCTGATCAGGGTAGTGTGTGGCTCACAGCAGTGTTAGTGACACACACGTGGATATGAAAATGCTTAAGGCATTTGCAGGTGTACAGTTGATACTACAAATATGGGAAACTAGTGTTTTGGGTACAAGTTGCACAGTGCCCCTCTGCCAGGGCTGGGGGCAGGAGGTGTGAAGAGACCGGGGCGCAGGTGGGGTCCGAGGTCCCAGCAGCTGGAGGGGGGCCAAGGGAGGCAGGCTGCACCTGTTCAGTCCTGGACGGGCCATGCCACAGTCAGTCCAGGCCAAATTCAATGTCCTCGTGGCCTGGCCCTGCCCCATGCTTCTTGGGCTCCACTGCAGACAGCGCCTCGTACCCAGCCATGTGGTTCCCTAGAGGGTTCAAGAAGAAGGCCACTGGGCATTCCTGCGTGCAGGTCTAGGACCTGCTGTGGTGCTGCCACCACAGGACCAATACCCACCAGACCTGGCCAGCAGTCTGCAGGACTGCCCGGCAACAGCTGCTGACCCAGGCACATCCTGGCCTGCTTGTCCACACTATGTCCTCCAGTACCAGCACCCACCTGCTACGTCAGGCCTCTGCATGCAGGCCCTACATGGCACATCAGACCTCTGTCATCCCAGCCTCAGGGAGCCCTCTAGAAAGCAGCCCTGTGCTGGCACCCTGTCTTTGCTCCCCCTTGCCAGCCACAACATCCATGGCCCCTCCCTCCTTCACAGTTTGGTCTACTGGCTGAGGGACAAGGAGGAGGTGGCTGAAAATGCTGCTTCCAGACCTGCTGAGCCAGGAGATCTGGGACCCGTGCAGGGGCCTGCACACAGTGCTTGCCTGCTCACACACACATGCACTGGTGGCTTTGGAGCCCTCCACCTGGGAAGGTGATCTGTCCAGTGGCCCTCTGAGTACAGAGCCCAGCGGATGGTCAGCAGTGGGTCCCAGCCAGGTGGGAGCGGCGGCTGCATTACCTGGTGCAGAGACTGCATGGAGGCCACTGTCCCCATCCTTGCTGCTGTTGGGGGGCATCGGGGGGCTGTGTGGCAGCTCGGAGTCACTGAGCTCCTCTATCAGCGGTTGGGGAGGCCCTGCGTCATGAGCTGGGGTCCTCTTGGCCTCCTCTGTGAGTAAGTCTGCAAAAGGCAACGTGGCCTTCACAGATATGTCCTTGGAGATGGCAAATATGCTTGAGAGGGTGTCTGTGGGTGGCTGTCCCAGCACTGAGAGGGGCGGGCAGTCCAGGTCAGGCTCACTGTCATCGCTCAGGTTGGAGACAGCCTCGATCCTTGGGATGCACATTTCCTTTTGGAAACAGGAGAGCTGTGTTGGAACCACACCCTTCCCACAGTTCCAGTCACACTTGGTAACACTGGCAATGTTCAGGGGGGACCAGGGGATCACTCCCTCTGCATCTCTCCAAGCTTCTGGGTCTTTGGGCCCTGTGCCCCAATCCTCTGTCCTTCCCGTGTCCCTGAGCCCCAGCCTCTGCTGGCACATCCCTTAGCCCAGCTTTGTTCACTGTAGTGAGGACTAAGGGCTGATGTGGAAATGCCATCCTGGGCATCATTCCCCTTGGGCATGGCATGGCTCTGGGGGCATTGCAGAGGAGTTCCTGTTAGCTCCCGGCACCCCTGCTCTTTCTCTTTGCCGCCTGCCTGGGCCATTCCACCTGGACACACTCCTGAGATGTGCACAGGGATGGGGCGTCCACGCACAACATGCCCCCGGCTGGACCTGCACGCACAGTGCTACAGCTCAGCCAGAAAGCCCAAGTGGTGGACGGGAAACCCTAAATGAGCAGGAACAAGCAGCTGCTCGTCCATCGGGCCTAAGTCGGCGGGCAGCCCTGCATTCCTCCAAGGAGCATGCTACTGCCAGGTGAAGGAGACGCCTAAGGGATCTTGCCAAGTTCATAGAAAATGCATTCTATGAAAACACTGGGCGCCAGAGCTTTCAAAGCTTTGGGCACCAAAACAAACTCGTCCTTCAATTCCATTTTCCATGTGCTTTGTGAATGACGAGAATGAAAGTGAGATTGGGTGGGCTGTGGGGGACGCACACCCCAATAACCTGACCTGGTCTTGCCCAGATTCTCTTGTGCCATCGATGTCTTCCAAGTCGGGGAGGTCCTAAAAGAGCAGCATGTCACAGGGAGCACATGCACCCCAGGCCCGGAGAGGACCGGAGGAGGCTCCCTTGCCCAGTGCAGAGCAGTGAGCAATCGCCTGACCCGCTCAGACGGCCCCTGCCCGCTACCGGAGAAGCCACCTGGGCACCCCCTCATCACCATCGGGCCAAGAGAGGGAGAATGCCCGAGGTGTGCTGTGGCTGGGGCACCTCCAGGCCCTCCTCGGGGTGCAGGAGAGACAAAGGGACCCCAGGCAAATGTGGGAGTGTCTGAGCACTGTGTGGCACGAACTCATCTGGCACTTCCCCCAGACTTGTACCACTTTCCAGTTATTGTGCTGTGGGCTTTTGTTTGGCATCCTCTGTAGCAACTGGCACAAAAGTGGGGGAGCTAGCATGGTATGTGGAGTGGCTGCACGCCAGTTCCCAGCTGTGTGGCTTTGGACAAGGCATGTCACCTTTCTGCCCTCCAGCCGCCCCCTCCGAAGCTAGGCTGACGGCAGCCTAGACATCTTGGAGTAACTGGCGGGACCACATGAGCAGTAATGGGTTCCACCCAGAACACCAGTGCAGCACAGGCTGGCAACGGCACGGACATTCTAGACATGGTCAGCTCTCAGAAGGGGGAGACCAAGCCGACCTCCCTTCACACCTGAAGGTGCCAGCCATGACCAACTTGGCTCTGGGTGAGTCCCGTGACATTGTCAAACATGGGGCACTCTGAGCCACAGTGTGAGCTTGAGTGGGGAAGTGGGTGGGGGCAGGCTGTGTGCCCCAGGCTGGCCATGAGCACGTACGCTGATCAAGAGCGGCCTCTCCTCCACGTTCATGTCTGTGGTCGCCATGTCTTCGGTTCCAGCTCGGCCGGCTTCGGTGAGCAGGGCACTCAAAGCAGCCACCGGCTCGGGAGCAGCTTCTAAGGAACAATGCCAGTGACTCAGTGGCTGAAACGACAAGCCCTAGGGGAAAAGTGGGTCCTAGGAGCAGTGACAGGCCCTCCTCAGGGGGCTGGAGGTCCGGTGGGGGGCAGAAGCCACAGAGCAACAGCTTGGAGTGGTGCTGCAAAATGTCACAATGACAGTTCTTGCACTGAGTCCCTGGTGAGGTGACCAGATTTATAGTTTAACCCACTTTTTTCTAAAAACACATTTCAGAGATAAATTTACTTGGGTTCAAGAAATTTTTGAAACCCAGGCCTTCTGATGGAAGGGCCTTCAGAAAACCCATGGGAAAAGCCATTGTGTGTGGATTTTGTACTTTTGGCACTCAAACTGTCTCCTTCCACTCCAGACATGCCTCCAGGATGCCTGCCGGGCAGCCCTGCTGCAGACACTGCCAACCTACAGGACCCACGTGTGAGAAGCGACCCGGTATCCCCCGTGCAGCCCCGCCCATATGGGCGCCTCTCAGCATGCCTACCTTCCCTGGCAGCCCCAAGGGCTGGCGGGCTGGGGACTTCGGCCAGGAGGGCCTCCCCAGGCTCCTGATGGTCCGTGCTCCCGACAGCCTGGGCCGGCAGCTCCTCTTCTTCGTAGGCCTTCTCCGGGAACAGCTCATCTTTGGCCTCAAAACTTTCCTCAACAAACAGCTCCATCTTCCGCTGCTTTTCTCCATCCTCTGGTGGCTCATCAGCACCTTCCACGCTGGCACGCCTGCTCTCACCACCACTGGGTGGAGGTGTTTCCCCTGAATAAGGCAAAGACTCAGGTGAGTCTGGCTATGCCTGGCCGACCTGGACATCTATGCTTCTGAGAGCAGAGCCTGGAGCCTCAAGGGGGCTCGTCACAGCACTGCCTGGGAGCCCACGCAGGGTGCTAGGTGGGAAGGAGGGAGGACAGCTGCTCCATGTGGCAGGCAAGGTTGTCAAGAGAGCAAGTCAGAAGATGCAAGTGCTGCATCTGAGGCTTAAGACCTGCTGGTCGGCCTCCCCAATCCAGTGGCTCAGGAGAAAATCAGTGTGTGTGTGTGTGTGTGTGTGTGTGTGTGTGTGTGTGTGTGAGAGAGAGAGAGAGAGAGAGAGAGAGAGAGAGAATGAACACCGAAGAGAGGAGAGAGGTGCAGGTGCAAACAGCTAGGCCACCAGACACACCAGCATCCTCTACTGGAGCGCCAGTTCCAGTCCCAGCTGACTGCTGCCGATCCAGTTAACACACCGGGGAAGGCTGCAGGTGGTGGCCCAAGTACCCGGACCCCTCCCACCCATGCAGAAGGTGGATGGAGTTCCATGCTCCTGGCGACAGCCGGGCCTTGGTCTGGCCAGTGCAGGCATTTGAGGAGTGAGCAGGTAGATGAAAAACAGATCTCTGTCTGTCTAAGGCTGTCTAGGGGCTGGGTGTACTTTCTTAGGGCATTACAAGCTCAGCTGATAAATAAATAAATAAGTAAATAAATCTTTAAAAAGAAACAGTAGGCAGAAAGTAATATCAGTATGCCATTGTAGAAAAGAGATAGAAAAATACCAAGTAACCTTTGGCTTTTCTGTGATTTCATTCATAGCAAACATGTTTTCTTTTCTAAGATTTATTTTTATTGGAAAGTCAGATAGACAGAGAGGAGCAGAGACAGAGAGGAAGATTTTTTACTTGCTGGTTCATTCCCCAAGTGAGCACAACAGCCAGAGCTGCTCCAATCCACAGCCAGGAGCCAGGAGCTTCCTCCAGGTCTCCCACATGGGTGCAGGGTCCCAAGGCTTTGGGCCGTCCTCGACTGCTTTCCCAGGCCACAAGCAGGGAGCTGGATGGGAAGTGGAGCTGCTGGGATTAGAACCAGTGCTCATATGGGGTCCTGGTCACGATCAAGGCGAGGACTTAAACCTCTAGTTTCTAAAATCACTTGAGAGCTCCTGAAATCCTAGTAGCGAGGCATGCTATGAGACTCTTTACTTTTTATTTAGCTTTAAAGATGTACTTGAAAGAGCTACTGAGGCAGAGGGAGAGAGACGGGTTGAAGCTGGGGGCTTCCTCCAGCTCTCCCACTTGGGCGGTCCTCTGGCTTTCCCAGGCTTTTGACAGGGGCTGGATGGGAAGTGGAGCAGTGGGACGGGAGCTGCTGCCCAGGAGATGGAGGTGTTGGTGCATGTCACACCACGGCACCCAGCCAGATGGTCTTTACTTCTAATATTTGATGTCTGACGCCGGTTTGGGGCATAGGATGACAGGGGCAGCTTTTGTTCTGATGAGGTGCTTCTTGCTGGGTTCCCGCATGGGGCTGGTTACCAGGAAGACTAAGCCACTTTCAGAAACCTGAGACTTTCTGTCCCACCCACTGCGGTCTCCAGACCGAGGACGGGGCTGGAAATGAAGCCAGTCTCTCCTGTGCATGCGGGGACGTCTCCATAAAGACCACCGAGCCATGGGGTCAGAGCTTCCGGAGGGTGGGACTCTCGCAGGTGCCTGGCGGGTGGCTGGCTCAGGGCAAGGGGAAGCCGCAGCCTGCCCCTGCACCTTCACTGCAGCTCACCTGCAGCCTTTATCACACCTTTCCCAGCACAAGCAACCGCAAACCCCATGCCTGCTGTGAGCCAGCACAGCACGCTACTGCATTCCAAGGGTGGGAACCACCTGGGACTTGGAATCAGCGTCTGAAGTGGGGGCAGTCATGTGAGGCTGCACCTTCAGCCTGGGCCTGCCTCTTAGGTGGGTGAGGTCGCCTGCAGCTGGATCTGTGGAGAGCTCAGGGACCCTGACCCTCCTGAGCTGCCCAGGGGGCCTCGGGGTGCTGTGGCTATGACTCCTAAGCTCGCCAGGGGCAGACGTGCACCCTCTCGGGTCATATGCTGATGGCACCCACTTCCCGGGTCTGGGAGCTGGGCCTGATGGGAGGACCTGCCCCAAATGGGAGTTGGGGTAAGGCTCCAGGATCTGCGCTGGGGTTGTTCCCCTCCACCACTGCCGCCCTCTGGCCTCACAGCATGCTCATGGCAAGGGGCGTGCCTGCCCGTGACCCTCCAAGACCCGAGAACCCGCGTCCCTTGGGGCTGGGCAGGTCCGCAGCGCCTACCCCTCTCCTGGCTCTCTTTCTGTCTCCTTCTCTCCTCGGCGCGCCGCTTGATCATGGCCAAGGCCTCGATGCTGTCCGTGATCTTCTTCTGCTCCCTGCTCTCCCACCGCTGCCTCTCCTCCTTCTCGGCCGCGTACCCTCCCCTGGCCCAGGCCTCGGCACAAGCTCTGTCAGAAGCACAGAAGAGAGGGTTGAGATGGATTTATCTGGAAGACAGAGTGACAGAGAGATCGTCCAACTGCTTCACTCCCTGGATGGCGGTGCCAGCCAGGGCCTGGCCACACTGAAGCCAGGAGCCAGGAATTCCATCCTGCTCTCCCATGTGGGTGCAGGGGCCCAAGAAGTTGTGCCATCTTCTGCCACCTTCCCAGGTGAATCACCAGGGCGCTGGCTCAGAACACTGGCATTCCAAAATGCAATGCTGGCATCGCAAGTGGTGCGTTAGCCCGCTGTAGCATGCGACTGCCACGACGCTGGCCCCCGGGGGTACAGTTTAGTGTGTCCTGTCTAAGGGCTGGGTGCGCTTTCTCAGTTACGGCACCACAAGCTCAGCTGACAAGAGGCAAACCAGTAACAAGATTCCATCAACATTGAAGCTTCTATAATGCAAAACATACCATTAATAAAGTAAAAAGGCAGGCTGCGGAATGTGGGAAGAGTTTTTGTAAACCATCTATCTCCCGAGGCCTAGAGAAAGGAAGCACCACTCACTGCCTGCTGGGGAGCGAGTCTGAGTCCTGGAAGACTGCAAGCTACCCAGGCATGGGCAGCCTCGGAGAACGCACCACTTCTGCCTTCCAGTCAGCGAGATGACCGCAGAGCCCTGGATCTCAAGGTGGGCACAGGCCAGGTGCCATCTGGGGGCTGGGGCTGGGATCCACAGTGAGCACCAGTTAGCCTGGCATGGGCTGGGACATCAGTGACGCTCAGCAGGAGTGTTCCCAAAGCCCCGGGCCACATTCTTTCTTCTGGACCACCTCGGGGAGTCCTTGGCCAGAGGTCAGAAACATATACCCGGGGTCAAAGGCCTGGAAACACCCGTCCATGCTCCTGTCACGGGCAATTCTATAGCCACAAAGTCTGCATCCTTAGCCAGGCGTAAAAACGCCCAAAGCTCAGCAACGCCAAAAAGGCTGTGAAGCAGGTTCAACTACTCAGCACTACGATGGCAGGAAAAGGCGTCTCTCCTCCTACCTGTCCTTTGGAAAGACGGGTCTGTCATCCAGGTACGTTAGGTGTTTCAGTCGCACGGTGACAGTCCTCCTGTAGCTAGGAATGTGCTTGATCACGGGGTTGCCCATCAAGTTGAGTACTCGCTGTGTGCAAACAAGAACCCAGTCAGCTGGCTGCAAAAACCCATGTGGTTAAGTCACTTTGTATGGTGCAAAAGTCTCATCTGGGCGTGTGCTGGGGAGTTGGGGGAGAAGCATGCCATAGCCTGGATCAGAGACGGGGAGGTGGTCGGTGTTGCCCTTGCACTGTGCTGCCTGACCAGGGCCAGTGAGCGCGCTTGCTTTGCTGCCCCTTCTCCGTTCCTGAAATGAAACTTGATCTAATGATTGTTCCCCTCCCTTCCCAGCCAGGACCTGCTGAGAGCTAAGGCTCTTGGTTCCCAGGGACGGATGCCTGTCTCCTGCAGGGGACCAGGGTGATGAGGAGTCAGCAATGCCTACAAGCCACCATTCCCTGTTACACACTGTCACCTGCCCTCCTGCCCTGAGTATCCCACAGGAAGTGCAAGGTTAGGGTCCTGTGCGGGTGAACCATCTGTTTGCCAGAAGCAAGGGAACGCTTTTCGTGTCCACTGAAGTGGATTTCATCGCCAGGAAAGAGAGACGTACGGAACCCTTCCCACACCACGCCCCACGATGTTCTTGCCATCCTTGCTGCAGGAGTGGGGTGGCTGGAGCGCCCGCTGCATGGGCAGGCCAGGAAAAACGCGCATTGGGATGAGGCATGTGAAAACCCTCGCAGAACAGCTGTATGGAGCTGGACTGTGACCTCCCTGAGAGCCTCGGCCCCCAGAATGGGACTGAGTCTTTATAGAGGCGTCAAGGGAGGGCCTGAAGGTGACATGACCCATGTCAGGACTCAGTAGGCGTGCGGCACAGAGAATGACCGAGGGCAGACACGGGGAGGAGGTGGTAGCAGCCGGCGAGCCCAGCTCGATGGCATCACTGTGCACAGGTGTTTGTCCCTCCTCGTCGCTCACTCTGCAGAGCGTGGCCACCACGGTTCACTTGCTGCCCCTCCTTCACCTGAGTCCATTTTCCCTTGAATCATCCATGCCCTCAGCACTGTGTGCTCGCTTGGATCACTTTTCTGACGCACATCCCAACACGCACGTGTGCCACCAGGGCCTCCACTTATTTCCCTGACAGATGATCAATACTGGGTCAGAGGCCAGCACCTCCTGTCCTCGGTAGCAGGCAGCAGTGGGGGGTGGGCAAAGCCTGCTGATAAGCACAAGCAGAGAAGGAGTGGCCTGCCTGCTATGGAACATCGCATGTCCCCAGGCTTGTCAGTACTGCTGGCACGACTGGCAGGCACACGGGAGCCTCCGCTGGGTCAGCTGATCCCACCTGAACCCACTCATTGACCTGAGCCCCATAGAAAAGAGACAGGCTGGCAAACACCACCAGCCCCCTCACATAAGGCAACACCTTAACGTGAGATCACATGTTAAGTGCCCGGCCCCCCAGCTGCGGCACAGTGAAGGTCAGGCAAGTGGGAGGAGTCCAGGCAGCCCGGTGTGTGGTATGGGACCCCATCTCCCTGTCACAGGAAGGTGGTGGACAACAGGAAGAGGGCACTGCCTTAAAACAAAGCAATCCCAATGCAACATCTGTAGACGCCTTGAGTTTGAATAACCCAGTCGCCCAAACGTGTCTTTAGATGGGAGAGGGGCCGCCGCACCCCCTTCAGCAGCCAGTTCCTGCTCTACTTCTGATCTAGCTGGTTGCTGCTGGCCTGGCAACGCCCACAGTGGGTGGCCCAAGTGTTTGGACCCCTGCCATGTGGACGGAAGACACACATCAGGTTCCTGGCTCCTGGCTTTGGCCTGGCCGGGCTGTCTGGTGATGGAACCAGCAGAGGGGAAGACCTGTTTGTGTCGCCCTCTCTGTAACTGAAATAAATATATATATATATATATTTAAATAGATTAATTAAAGAGATTGCTGCATGTAGATTGGGTAGACTGGGTGTTAAGTGCGCTCATTCTGGCATCTTCCTTGTTGTGGCAGTGGCCTGACTGTGCAGACAAGCAGACACCCCGAGACTCAGCGGCGACGTACCAGATCGGGCATGCGCTCCAGCACGCGCAGGATCTCCGGGTTGCTCAGCCTGTTGTGAGACAGGTCCAAGACGCAGAGCTTCCGGCACTCCTGTAGGTGCTCGATGTCTTCCACCGTCTCCAGGTGGTTGTGGGCCATCTGTAGCGTGTTCAGGACGGGCAGGCAGGCTGCAGGCAGAGGGCGGCAGAGGGCGGCAGGGAGCGGGCAGTCAGCACGCAGGCCTCTGCTGGGACGGTGCGCCACGGGCGGGAGCTGGTCCCCCGCCACTCACCGAGGTTCTCGATGGTCTTGATGTAGTTGTTGCTGAGGTTCAGGGCGTCCAGCTTCTGCAGGGGCTCCAGGTTCTCAATTCTGTGCAGCAAGTTCACTTGCAGGAAGAGGCAGCGCAGTTCCGTCTGGGCCTCCAGGTTCTCGATTTTCTGGATCCCGTTGCACTCGAGCCAGAGACAGCGCAGGCCCGTGTACTCCTCCAGGTTCTCGATGCGATCGAAGCCTGGCAAGGGTGGGGTGGGGGTCTCTCAGGCCTTGGGGTCACAGCCTCCCTGGACCCTGGCTTCTCAACAGCAAGAGCCATGATGGGCAGCCTTACTCATTGGGATTCTGTCACCAAGACAATGAATCTGTCTTCATTGTTCTTGATACCTTTGTCTTTTCCAAACTTGCTGTACACCTATCATGTGGTCTCAGTTACATTTAATTATAGCTGCAGCACAGGTAAGATTTTTTTGAGGTTTTCTTTCAAATCCTTTTAAATAAGAATGCTTACAACATAAGAATTTCCCATGTTGCCTTCCTTCCTGCCCTGCTTTTTTCCTTAAAGATGACCACAAGTGTGACGCAAGCCACATGTGTTCCCGGATGGCACCAAGCGGCCACTCCCTGGGCACGTGTCTTTGCTCGGACTGTTTTCTGTGAAGCAGATGGTGAGTCAGGTCTAGACACCGTCTTCAGGAGACTGGAGCCCCGGCTCTGTCCATCTCTGCAGCCAGTGACATCTGACGGCTCTGTCCCCTTGCTGTCATTGTTGTCCTGCCTACGACAAGGTCCCCTCCCAGCGGGCCTTCTCTCCTTTTCCTGGATTTCTCTGGGAGGGACCCTAGGTCGGGCACTCATTTTGTGCTCACTAGTGTTTCAGGTGCAGTAGGATGGGGACCCACCCTGGGATCAGACAACAACACAGCAGCAGGGGTGACGGGCCGCTGGCAGGGACCAAGGCTCCCTCCTGGGTCTCCCTGTCCCGGGTGCCAGGCTCCCTCCTGGGTACGAGGCTCCCTCCCTGGGTCTCCCTGTCCCAGGTACCAGGCTCCCTCCTGGGTACGAGGCTCCCTCCCTGGGTCTCCCTGTTCTGGATAACTTGCATTGCAGGACGACCCAGTGACTCTCCTGGGTCATGGCCAGTGAGGACTCTGAGGCCTGGCGCTGGGGTGTGGGCCCTCAGGGAGATAGATATTCATGCAGTGACAGGTGACACAGGACCTCTCCCTGCAGCCCTCCTGGCTTTTTGAATCATCCTCCTTAGTCTAACATGTGGATTCCTCTTCCCTCCTGTCATGTGCTGTGCCCCAGCCTGCCCTGCTATCGCCACTGCCCACGTGCAGGCTGCTGGCTGGAAACTTCAGGGGGTGTTTCAAGTGGAGTGGAGGCACCCAGCACGGCCCTGTTACTGTTCCGCCAGCCACTTGTGCTGTGGGAGGCCCAATGCAACCCTGGGAGACCACCCCACACCCCTCGGAACTCACCCAAAGCCATCCTGACCCTACCCCTCCTTTCTAGCTCTGGATTCAAGGCCAGACAGAGGGGGCTCTTGGAAAATAAGCAGCGAATGATTTTATGCATCAACAAATGGCAGGAGAAGTAACTGCCCCAACCTCAGCTCCTCAATACCACTGCCAGGAATGGCCCTGCCCGTGAACCTGAGCTTGAGATGCCAATCTGGAGCTCCAGGGGGTGCCTGTTTACCCCGCTCCAGTCTGAGAATCCTGAGACCTTCTTCACTTGTTCTCCATAACAGTGGGCCTTCACAACATATCCCATTCCTACCCACCCCAAGCTCTTACAAACCAGACCCTGTTGTGAGCAATTCTAAATCAGGACAGGCATGTGGGACATTAAAATCACCACTTGGGACATCTACACCCTCTCCTGGATGCCTAGGTGGATGAGCCCCTGGCACTCTGCATCTGATCCAGGTTCCTGCTGGCGTGTGCCCTGGGAGGCACCAGGCAATGGCTCCAGGACCTGGGTCCCTGTGCTTGTACTGGGACTTGGGTGGGGTCTAGATCTCTCTATCTCTGGAATACAATGAAGGTAATATTTTTTTAATTAAAGAAAAATTCTATGTCCTTAGAAAACATAAATAAAAGCATATCAGTGTGCTGCTTTGGTATTCATATATCCATACTGTCAGGCAAGACCTTTCCTCAGGATAAACACGATTCCTTTTCCATGAATCTCGTATCGTCTGCTTAACAACACGAGCTGGGGCGCAGGGGCGCAGGGCGGATGACGCTGCGTTCGCCCGGCAGCCCGCTCCCGCTGGAGGCAGCTGCCCTGCCAGTGCTCACCTTTAAAGTGCAAATACAGCGTGTCATTCAGCGCTGGGGTGACGTAAAGCTTGTGTTGCTTGCAGAGTTTCTGCAGGAAACGTTTAGTCATTCTGTCAAAGTGGAAAACGTCAGTGAGAAATGTATTTCAGGGGTCAGCACAGTGACACAGCAGGCTAATTCCCAGCCCTGTGGCACTGGCATCCCGTGTGGACACTGATTTGTGTCCTGGAGGCTCCACTTCCATCCGGCTCCCGGCTTGTGGCCTGGGAAATCAGTGCAGAATGGCCCAAGGCCTTGGACCCCTGCACTCACATGGAGACCTGGAGGAGCCCAGGCTCCCAGCTTCAGGTTGGCTCAGTTCTGGCCATTGCGGCATTTGGGGGGTGAACCAGTGGATGGAAGATCTCTCTCTCTCTCTGTAAATCTGCCTTTCAAATTAAGTAAATAAATCTTTAAATTCATTCATCTATCTATCTATCTATCTATCTATTTCATCCTTCCCCAATTTTCTTACCATATTCCTGTGAGAGCAGCCCCAAAATGCTTGGAAAAGGTGTGCTATGATGAAACTGTGTGTGGATTTAAACACTTTTTGGACCAAATTTGTCAGTCCATCTCTCTACAATCTTTTGTAAATTCCCCTGGATGTGCCTTATTTACTTGAAAGGCAAACACACGCACACACACACACACACGCACACACACACACATACACACACACACACACACACAGAGTAGCTATCTCTGGTTCAGTCCCTGAATGCATACAATTTCCAGGGCCAAGCCAGACTGGACCAGGAGCCTGGACCCTCCTCCAGACCTCGCTTGTGGGGAGCAGGGGCCCACACACTGCAGGGGTCAGGGCGCTATCAGTGGAGCGCTGGACTGGAAGGGGAGGTGCTGGGACTTGAGCCACGCACTCCGAGAAGCGATGCAGGCAACCCTGATGGGGCTCTAACCCTCTGTACTAATGTTAAGTTCTCCTTGTTGTTGTTCCACTTTCAGGGCCTCATCCGATACTGTCTCCTTCAGCAGTCTGAAAAATTGCCATATGTGTTCAAATAAAAATACCATTAGCAGTGTCAGGAAGAGAGCTTGCTTTCTTCAGGCCAGCCATGAAAGTTTAATGAGGGAGCGTCCCGAGGGCTGCACCATCCTGGCTCCTCCACTCCACACATCTCAGACACTGGGCAGACAATCCCACCTCCACGAGCTCGTAGGAGAGGCCGAGTCCATCCTTCGCGCAGCACGTCCACGCACCTGGGGCCCCGATCTTCCCTGTCATCATCCCGTGGGGGTGCTAAGTGGCCGTCCGGCCTGCTGTCGCCGCCCTGCTTCAGCTGGTTTTGGTAGGAAGAGTCAAGAGGAGCGACGCAGGCTTCCTTAGCATCACCAATGTCTGTAAGACAAAAGACATCAGGGTCTAGGGAGATCAGATTCACACGTGTCTGCCTTCAGCACGCTGCACACCGGTGCTGCTCCGATGTTCAGCCAGGCGGAGAGCGTGGGCAAAGCCACAGAATGTCCCACCCAGAGAGCTCCTCTCCAAAGCTGCCCTGCAGCCGAGAGCACGATGGGGACACACTTTTCAGTTCTTAGTGTACAGGCATTTGTTATGTTTTCTGTTCTTTAGTTTGTAAATAAATTTTCTTAAAAGGAAACATGTGAAAACACATAGAATAAAGGAAATGTCTTTGGTAAGAAAGAAAGGAGCACATTTAAGTGCATGGAGTTTTTATTTTAAAGATTTTTTTTTTGAAAAGCAAATTATATTTACAGAAAGACAGAAAGATCTTCCATCCAGTGGTTCACTCCCTAAAATGGCTGCAATGGGCAGAGCTGAGCCAATCCAAAACCAGGAGCCAGGAGCTTCTTCCAGGCTTCCCATGTAGGTGCAGGGTCCAAAGGCTTTGGACCGTCCTCCACTGCTTTCCCATGCCACAGGCAGGGGACTGTGTGAGAAGTGCAGCAGCTGGGACTAGAACCAGCGCCCATACGGGATCCTGGCACTTGCAAGGTGATTTAGCTACTGAACCACTGTACCAGCTCCCCACCTTTGTTTTTTTTTTTTTTAAGATTTATGTATTTTTACTGGAAAGGCAGATCAGATTTACAGATAAGGGAAGTCAGAGAGAAAGATGCGTTATTTTTTTTTAAGCCCACTCAAGCCTGGTGCTGTGGGCTGTCAGCTGCTGCCTCGTGTGTGGTCTGTTGAAGCCGACTAAAGGCTCCGCACTGGGATTTTGCATTCCCTGTTTTCCCACTGCGTGCAATGTCTAGTGAATGATTATAGAAGAAACAAACAAACAAACACCAGGTATACACAGTTGATTGGTCACATTAACGAGGACTATATCCAGTAGAGGTCCATCTCATGTCAGATGTGACCACTGCACAAGCCTGCGCAGACAGAGACACAAAGGCTGCATGCCGAAGCTGCCCACGCTGACAGTCGGAAAGCCGCCTGGCAGGGCTGCTGCAGGGGGAACCCAGCCTGGGCTCTCCACCGAGCAGCACTGCTCACCAGGCAGTGGCTGGCCTGCACAGCCAGGGCTCTAGGTGGGTTGCTGACTGGGCTCAGCCACGGTCCAGCGTTCAACACAACAGCTAAGACGTGGCTTGGGATAGTTGAGCTTGAGTCTTGACCCCACTTCTGATTGGTGCGCCCCGCCGGTGTACACCCTCAAGGCACCGGGGTATGTGCCATGTGGGAGACTGCACTGAGTTCCTGGCTTCTGGCTGGCCTGATCCCAATTCTTCTAGGCATTTGGTCTTAGCCAAAAGGCCGAGAAGCGATTGTTGTAGGCATCTGGATGGAAGATCTCTCTGTTCTTTCTTTTTTAAAGATTTATTTATTCGGGCCTGGCGTGATAGCCTAGCAGTTAAAGTCCTCACCTTGAATGCGCCAGGATCCTGTATGGGCGCTGGTTCCCAGGTCACAAGCAGGGAGCTGGATGGGAAGAGGAGCCGCCAGGATTAGAACTGGCAGCCATATGGGATCCTGGTGTATTCAAAGCAAGGAGTTAAGCCGCTAGGCCTCTGTGTCGAGCCCTGTCTCTCTACTTTTTAAATAAGAACAAAAACATGGGGTTCATCCTTTGCCTGTGGTGCCGGCATCCCATATGAGCGCTGGTTTGTGTCCCGGCTGCTCCACCTCCCAGCCCTCTCTCTGCTTGCCATCTGGGAAACCCACATAGGAGACCAGGAAGCTCAGCTGGGCCCACCTCTGGCTGCTGTGGCCATCTGGGGAGTGCATCAGTAAATGGAAGATCTCTTTCCCTCCCTCTCGCCCTGCAATTCTTTCAAGTAAAATAAATAAATAAATAAATAAATAAATTTTAAAATGCAAAGTGGCTTCTTCAACTAGTCATTAAAAGATTTCGCTTAGAGCCTAGTGGGCAAGTCTGTCTTTGAAACCTAATCCTGGAAACTTTGCTAAGAGGACAGGCACTGACCCCCAATACCACCGACCCCTCGGTCTGTACCACCTGTTGGTGGGACCCGTATGTCCTGCAGGCTCAAGGGGAAAGACACCTTCCATCTCACACGTTGAGAGCAATACTGGGATCCTTCAAGACATCAAGTTGAGAGTGGGAAGAACTGCGTGTCGGACAAGAGGCTGGGCTCTGGAGTCACCTGCGAGCCTGGGACCCTGCCCTGTGGAGCAAGTGTCGTGTGGAGCAAGTGTTACAGCCTATTTAAGCCTTGGTTTCCTCAACAGCGGCTGCAGGTGCTCGGCACCCCATACTAGCGGATGCTGAGTGCTGCTGATTGCTGGCTGTGCAGGTAGGTAGCAGGGTGTGGGAGGAGGCTGCAGCGCCCAGTCACAGCGGCCCACCACCCCCCTCGCCCTCCCTGGGGCGACGGTCGGCACCTTCCTTGCGGCCCGCAACGCTCCTGTCCCTGTGGTCACCCGCGGATTCCTCCTGCACGCAGTCCGGCTCCGCTGTCCCGTCGGCCGCTGGCTCCGAGGCCTCGGGGTGCATGTTTGTTCTTCTGACACGGAACACTCCGTATTCCGCGGGGTCGTTACGGCCGGCCGATCCCCGGTCCCTTTCTCAGACGCCCGGCTTTCGTTCCCGGCAGACCACACCGGCCTGCGTCGTTGGCGGCCCAACGCCTCCCCGTCGCCGTGGCAACCGTGGCGCACGCGCTCTCGAGGACGCCGAGGGCGGGGCCTGAGCGGGCGCCGCCCCCGGCGCGTGCGCGCGTCACGTGGGGCGCGGACCGTCGGCAGCTGCGGCGGGACCCGGCCTGGACACTGCGCCGCCTGCAGGTACCGCGCCCGGGCCCGCGTCTCCCCGCGTCGTCCCGCGCCTCCCTCGCGGCCCTTCGCGCGGGGCCCGTCTCGTCCTCTTCAGTCCCGGCTGGCTGCCGGCCGACCCCGCGCTCGGCGCCCCCGGCCACGCCCCCGGGCCCCGGGTCCCCCATTTCCCTCAGCCCGCCTCGTCCCAGCCCGAGCCCAGCTTCCCTGCATCCCGTTCGGCTGTGGCCCTTCACTTGGCGGCCACCGGGCCTGCACCCACTGCCCCTCTGTGGGCTGCAAGTCGCCGCTGCTTTATTCTGGAATCTGCACAGGGCAGTGTGAGCAGGACTTTGTCTCTGAATAATGGGGCGGGGAGGGCAGGGCACACGCGTCCCGGGCCGCGGCCGTTGGTTCCCCCATCGCGCGCGGTGGAGAAAGAGAGAGAGAGACAGAGACAGACAGAGACAGAGAGAGAGAGACCAACCCCTCGGCTGGGCCCTGAGTTGCCCCATCTGTCAAGTGGGGGTAATGAACAGAGCATCGGGTGAGACCATGGGCAGCGGTTGTGCCCAGGGTCGCTGATGCAAGAAGGCGTGACCCCACCCAGGACGCATCTCACTCCCCATTCTGCGGGAGGGCCAAGGGTACAAGGAAGTGGGGTCACTTTTGCTTTTCTTGGAATAGAATTCACATGGCATTCATCCTTTGAGTCATTTGAAAGGTGTAGGGCTTGCTAGTGTTTAGTGCTTTTGTAATCCCAGAACGCCACTCCCAAAGGAAAGCCCAGCCCTATTAGCAGTAGCTTTCTGTTGCCCCCACTGCCCTTCAGTGATTGGGAAGACAGCTGCCCAGCGGCCACTGGTTCACTCTCCGGGCCTGGGCTGGGATGAAGGTGGGAGGCTGTCAGTGCAGTGGCCGAGGGCTGCTTGGGACCCTGTTACTCGGGCCCTCAGCAGGAGTCCTCTGTGTGGTGCAGGCTACCTGGTCAGCACCCTCCCTGCTAGGCGAACGGTCCTCCCGGCCCCCTCTGCTCTGTCCCTGGAAGGGCTGACCCACCCTGGACACCCCGTGCAGTTCCCGCTTCAGGACTCACGGCCTCCTGTGTCTGGTTTGTCCTCTGGCGGTGAGTGCTTAAGGTCCGTCCGTGGCGTGGCCCGTGTCCTGCACTCCTCTCCCTGCCGAGTGGTACTCCGTGGTGTGGGTGGACTGCATCTGCTTAGTCCTGTATTCACTGGTGCTCGTGGGGGTGTTTTCCTGCTTTGGGCTCCCTGAATAAGGCTGCTGTGAACACTATGGCCAAGGTTTCCAGCTGTCTTGGATACACACCTAGGATGGGGTTGATGCTGTTATTTTAATTCCTGCTGTATACAGGAGACATAAAGATTAGGAACTCTGGAATTTGGATAAGAATACAGATTTCTATTCCCCTGTTGTTGCCTTTGCCACGCCCACAGTGGAAGGCAAGAGAATGCAAAGTGACTTTCCCAAGTGCTGACACTAAGTTTGGGTCTTAAATTGTTCCTCCTCAGGAGTGAAATTTGAGCTTTGAGACAAAGCAATATTTGATTCTGTTTGTTAAATGGAGCATGTACCCAGAGTAGCTTGCCAGGTTCTGTGGAGGAATATTAAGGGTGTAAGAGACTTGAGCCTCACTTCGTCACAGATCTGCGGGGGGATATTTCACTTAAACCCGGAAAATAAGGCTGTGACACTCCGAGAAGGTAGTGTGGGGCTAAGGTGGGGGTTCCTGGTGTAACACGAGATGGGAGAAGTATGGAGAAGTTTGGAAATGAAGGTCTTTGCTTCCTCAGGTGTGCTGTAAAGAGCTGTGAAAGGTAGAGGCTGTGTCCACATGTGTGGAAGGATGCTCCGGTGCAGGTGCTCACCGTGGGGGGGAGGTTAGGACGTGTGGCTTGGTATCTATCCAAGTGCTCGCAGTGATCTGGGAGGAGCAGCGATGATGCCTCATGCTTGGGTCCCTGCCACCCACGTGGGAGCCTGGATGGAGCTGCTGCCTCCTGATTCTGCCTGGCATCTGGGGAGCGCATCCGTGCATGGGAGCTTGTCATATGTCAGTGTGTGGAAGGGAGCTTGCCGTGTGTGTGTGTATGGGAGCTTGCCGTGTGTGTGTGTGTGTGTGTGTGTGTGTGTGGATGGGAGCTTGCCGTGTGTGTGTGTGTGTGTGTAAGGGAGCTTGCCGTGTGTGTGTGTGTGTGTGTGTGTGTGTGGATGGGAGTGAAGGAACAGGAGAGCGGCCTTCTTTCTGCTGGCTCACTCCTCCAATGGCCACAGGGAGCCAGGAGCGCCGTCTGAGCCTCCCACACGGGCGCTGGGACCCAGGCGCTGGGGCAACCCTCCACCCTTTTTCCAGGTGTGTTTTCCAGGGAGCTGGAGCAGAAGCAGAGCAGCAGCGATCCAACTGACTCTCCAGTGTGAAAGGATGACTCTGCAAGTGGAGAGAGGCCTAGCCCCCTCCCTGCCCCTGACATTCTTTTTTATAATTTTTATTTTAATAGATTAAATGAGCGCTGGTTCTGGTCCCAGCAGCCCTGCTTCCCATCCAGCTCCCTGCATGTGGCCTGGGAAAGCAGTCGAGGACGGGCCAAAGCCATGGGACCCTGTACCCATGTAGGAGACCCAGAAGAGCTCCTGGCTCTTGGCTTTGGATTGGCTCAGCTCTGGCCATTGCGGCTGCTTGGGGAGTGAATCAATGGATGGAAGATTTTCTTCTGTATCTCTTCTCTCTGTATATAAAAATAAATAAATACTTTTTAAAAATTTATTTTAAGGGGAAAGTTAGATTTTCCATCATCTGGTTCACTCCCAGAATGGCTGCTGAGGGCCTGAGCAGGCTGGAGGCAGGAGCCAGGAACGGCATCCACGTGTCACAGGCACTGCACGGGAAGTGGGGCAGCTGAGGCTTCATCCTGGCATTTGGAAGTGTGGAACAGGATGCCTGGTGTCAAAAGCAGCAGCTCTCAACTATTAAAAAAAAATCATAAAATTGTGAGAAAAGAAATCTTAACAGAAAAAAGGGCAATGATGGGAGTGGCATTTCTCAGAGTGGAAAGCTTGACATCGTGCACCTGTCACAGGCGTTTCAGCCTTACCTGTGATCTGCGATGACACCGCTCTGTTGGAGGAGGCCAGCCGCTGGCCCTTCCTGCCGCTGGTGGTGTGGCAGTGAGAACGTGCACCTGCCTCTGCTGGGTGTGCACATTAGCCCTGCCACCTTGCAAAGTGGCTGAGGGCTTGTGGCCTGGCGTTCAGGGCACTTGCACAAACCTGTTCAGCATAGTGCTGTCGGCATCTGTGGGCCCAGAACCCCACCCCCACAAGCCCGTCAGCGACAGGGTGGCCGTGTGCATTTATGGCAGGAGGCACTGGACAGCAGTGGCCACCCCGCTGCGGATCCTTCCCAGGGAGCACTCTGCGGTACTGCGTCTCAGAGTGCATGCTTGCAGGGTCCAGCTGCAAGGAGAAAGGCGGGGGACGCCTGCTGTGCAGTCTTTGAGTTATCCGCTGGATGGAGGAGGCCCTGTGACCAGCAGACAAGGCCACAGGGCCTTCAGGGCACTGGATTTGTTTGGGAAGTAGTCCGATGGCATAGTGTGGGTAGGTTTTGTTTTTTGAAGGTTTTACACAACTTCTGTGTTTTTCTGAATCACAGGGCAATTAGTTTAGCTAGGTCCCTCACCCTCTGGAGACCTGTTCTAATTGGAGAGCCCGAGAAATGAGGTGAGTCTTTAAACTAAGGCCATGTGGATGGCGGGGGCGATGCAGTGGTGCAGGCTGGCTTGGCGAGCAGGCGGGAGATGCGCGGGCAGTGTGTGCCACTCGGGCTGCCTGGAGAACTCAGCGCCTCCCGGAGCCCGCAGTTGAGGCTGGGAGGGACCTCGGCTCTGGCCTGCTCTCCCAGGAGTCTCTGCAAACTTAGTGGCTCCAGAATACGCTTGATGGGTCCGGGCTGGGTGCGGGGGGCCTTCTGCCAAAGTCATTGGATATTATAAAATCAGTCAGTCTTGGGTCTACAAAACTAAAACTTAGCCTGTTATAGATTTATTGAACTTCAAGTGCTGCCTTGTGGTTGCCTTACTGGGTCAGACCAAAGGTTGTTTTTTTTTTTTTCACAACTGTCTCATACTTTATTTATTTATTTACTTTATTTATTTTTACTGGAAAGTCAGATCCACAGAGAGAAGGAGACGTGGAGACATAGATCCTCCATCTACTGGTTCACTGCCCAAGTGGCCGCAGTGGCCGAAGCTGAGCTCATCTGAGCTGCTTCTGGGTCTCCCACACAGGTGCAGTCCTCCATGCATTTAGGCTGTAACCCATTGCCATCTCGGGCCACACGCAGGGGACTGGATGGAAGGCGGAGCAGCTAAGACTAGAACCAGTGCTCCTGTGAGGATGCCGGCACTGCTGACGGAGGCATAGTGTGCTGTGCTACCATGCTGGCCCTGTATTGATTTATTTGAAGGCAGAATTACAAAGAGGGAGAGATGTAGAGACAGACGGATCTTCTCTCTGCTGCTTACTCCCTAAATGGCTGTGCTGAGCAAGGCTAGGCCATGCTGAAGCCAGGAGCCAGGAATTCTGTTGGGTCTCCCATGTGGGTGGGGAGCTGGCTGTGCAGTGGAGCAGCTGGGGGTCAAGCTGCCCTCGGATGGGATGTTGGTATTGCGGTGGTGGTTGGATGTGCTGTGCCACTGCGTGGGCCCCAGGCTGGCAGGACTTACATGGCTGAGATTGTTCAATTTTCAGCTTGTCCCTGTTGTCTTAAGAGCGACTGGTGAGTGCTCTGAGTATGTGTGTTCCGTCATGTTACACCAGGCCACTGTGGGCCTGTGGTTCTGCAGCTGGTCGGTTGTGTGTGTCTGCTCTCCCCGGCCGGCATCCTCCTGCTGCTGGAAAACACTGTGGCCACTGTGCCTGAGTCCTGCGACCTGCCACCCCAGCTGTCCTGCTTCTGTGTGGCTTGATTGCGTCTGTGTTCAGCCAACATGTTTCCCGATTGATGAGGGTGTGTGTGGGGAGCGGCTTTTGGGTTTTGTCTTCATGCTGCTAGCTGGAGTCGGCTGCGGGCCTGCCTGGCGTGATAGGCGCCAGCAGTGGCACGGGGCAGGGGTGGCCTTGCCCTTGGTTCTGATGCCTGTTGCCCTGTGGAAGAAACGCGTCCAAGACAGAGGGGAGTTGCTTTTGTCCCTAGCTTGGAGAAAGTTCTGATTTTGTTTTGTTCACCTTCTATATTTTTGAGGTATCATTGACAGAATTGTATACAGCTTGGTGGACAGTACAATTCAGGCACCTTGCAAAATTAACAGAAAAAATAAAATTGAAAGTATGACTATTTTGGAGCAAAATTTTTTTCCGTGGTATGTGAAAAACATGTATTCTGGAAAAGCTGTGCTTGGATTTCAAACCTGTTTTTGTGCCAAAATAAACTCATTTTTAAAATTCCATTCTCCACCAGCTTTCTGAAGTAGCTGGGTACCTGCACATTGTGAAAGAACCTGAGGCAGCCACCACACCCCTCTCCTCACATTGTCTCCTTCTGCTTGGCTGTGGGGAAAGGCTTGGCCACCTGCCCCGTCCTAGAACCTGGCCCTTGAGCCCAGCAGACAGCTGGTGGAGCAGAGAATGCTGTGCACACCTCCAGGCCACAGGGCCACAGGGCCCCCCAGCTCTTGCAGGCAGGCCCCGGTTCTCCCTGGGTGCTGTGCCAGGCCCTGGGGGCTGCTGACTGTTCTAATGATGTGGATTTCCTGTCCCAGGTGTCTGGCCACAGTTTTGTAATTTCTCCTCACATTTAGTTTGAGAAGGTTGTACTGTAGGAACGATTATTCTTTGCTTTTATTTTCCTCGTGGTGTGGGATCTGATTAGTTATGACAAAAGCCATGTGATATTTTATTTTACTTATTTTTTAAAATCTGTATTTATTTATTTTTATGGAAAGACAGATTTACAGAGAGAAGAATCTTCTGTCCACTGGTTTACTCCCCAGTGGCCACAGTGGCTGGAGCTGAGCTGATCTGAAGCCAGGAGCCAGGAGCCTCTTCCGGGTCTCCCATGCGGGTGCAGAGTCCCAAGGACTTGGGCTGTCCTTTGCTGCTTTCCCAGGCCACAAGTAAGGAGCTAGATTGGAAGTGGAGCAGCTAGGGCACAAAACTGTCCAAATGAGATGCTGGTGCCACAGGGTGGGGGATTAGCCTGTTGAGCCGTGGTGCTCATGCCTGTTTTATTTATCTGGAATGTGCAGACAGAGCCCTCCGCCCTCTGCTTCATGCCTCAAATGCTCAAGAGCCGCTAGGGTTGGACCAGGCCACGCTTGGCAGTCAGGAACATGGTTGGTGGGGACCCAGCCCCTGAGTGCTTACCATTGCCTCCCCTGGTACGCATCAACGGAAGCTGGCATCCAGGTTCAGCCAGGACCTAGAGCCTGACGCTCCATGGTGGCATGCAGGCACCCCAAGTGCCAAGTGAAAGAGACAAAGATTTTCCATCCACTGGTTGAAATGGCCACAACAGCCAAGACAAGTCCAGGCAGAAGCCGGGAGCCTGGGCACTGTGGGGTCTCCCGTGTGGCCGTCAGGGGCCCGGGAGCCTGGGCACTGTGGGGTCTCCCGTGTGGCTGTCAGGGGCCCGGGAGCCTGGACACTGTGGGGTCTCCCGTGTGGCCGTCAGGGGCCCGGGCACCTGGGCCCTCCTGCCCTGGTTTCTCAGGTGCATTAGGGAGTTGGATTGGAAGTGGAGACGCCAGAAAGTGCCAGCCTCCAAGGGGCACCCTAATTGCTGTCCCAGCTGTGTGCCCCAGGAAACAGCATTTTACCCGTAGGAAATCAAATCTGCCTCAGTGAGACAGCGCACATCTGCTGGTCACTCCCACTTGTCCACGGTGACAGGTGAGGAGGGGGCGTGGGGGGGCAGGAGCCAGCTGATGGAGGCCGTGGGGACTCAGCCAGGGAGTGCTCCAGCAGCGCGCTGGGACAGGACCCCACGTGCTCCAGCTGTTCCCGTGTTACAGGACCAGGTGTGAACCCACCTCCTCACTTTTCCCTGGAGGGAGACATTCTGACTCCATGCTGTCGGGCAGCTCAGGAGCCCCTGGCTTGGACAGTGCCTTACCATGGGGCATACAGTAGCACTCCGCCGGTGACTTCTTCCGTTTTCTGCTGTGTTTCTGTTGTGTGTATGGTTGGCTTATAATCTGGACAACACATTCAAATGTTGATTCAACAGTGGTTTCCATATTCCATGGGCCTTTTCACACAGTAGCATAATTCTGGTGTGTGTGCCATTTCCTATGGCTTAGTTTCACTTTGTTCTATAGAACTTGTTTTAGCTCAGATTACATTCCAGGGGAGTAAGTGGGAAGGAACCCGCTCCTTAGTTCGCTGCTATTGTTAGGTGTTTTCTTAGTTTTGGGGACTCCCCCCTTTGTTCAAGGGATTGAAGAGGGGCTCTGCCTGGAAGGTTTGTATTTCTCTTGATTGGCTTGCGTGCACTTTATCCCTGTGTCTGAGCAGCGCAGCTCCGTAGAGTCCAGGCCCGTCTGCTGGTGCGCCCTCCCCTGTCAGCTCCCGTTGGGAACAGTACTGCGGCTCCCTGTCTGAGCCAGCGTGGAGTGCAGGGCCCTGGAGTGTGTCCTCCACCTGGGCCTGCCCCGCGTCTGCCTCAGAGGGGCTCTTTCTCACTGCAGGCACATGGGCATCTGCCTCAGCCGGACACGATGATTTAATTCACCTGTGACACGTTAGCCTGTGTCGCAGGGAGACGCTGAGAGCCAGAGGCGGTGCTTGGCGAGTTCTCCGAGGTTGTCAGACCTCGGGGGCTGAGGCAGAAATGCAGGTGTCTGAGTCAAGGTGGTGACACAGAGAACTCAGCCTGTCGCATGTAAGAACACCATTTCTTCTGGTTTGGGATTTCTCTCTGCTAAAGGTTGTGAAAGCTGGCTTTGGTCTCAAGTGAACTGTGAGCTCCTTGAGGCCAAGGCTTGCTCATTCGCACTCTGTCTGGTGTCTGTGGCTTCTAGGTGGGTGCTATCCTGTGTATTTGCTGGTTGTGGATGAAGCGGAGACCCGTGTGCCTCCTGGCAGTGCCCTTGTTACGTGGCGGCGTTTCTGGGGCGCAGAGCATGTGCCGATTCCCTCTCTGCAATGTCTGGATTTCAGGAGAAACTTGTCCTCCTCGGAGGACAGTAACTGTTAACTTGATATGCTAAGCAATGAGATGGTGAATTGTGCTGAATATATGAGCTGCTTGCTTTTGAAGTTATTCTTGAGTGCCAAGTGGCTAACATTCCATGTCCTCTGAGGTCTTTCTTTACTCACGTGGCGCATTTTTCTTTAAAGTATGAAGCAAAGAACCTCTGTCTTCCCCCTCCTTGTAGGTTGCCATGGCGGCCGTTGACAGCTTCTACCTCCTGTACAGGGAAATTGCCAGGTCTTGTAACTGCTATATGGAAGCCCTAGCCCTGGTTGGGGCCTGGTACACGGCCAGGAAGAGCATCACCGTCATCTGTGACTTCTACAGCCTGATCCGGCTGCATTTCATCCCTCGACTGGGGAGCAGAGCAGACCTCAGCAAGCAGTACGGAAGATGGGCTGTCATCAGCGGTAACGTAACTGAAAATCAGAATGATCTTTCCTCTTGAAATGGTGTTTTCAGTTGGGTGCCTTGCCCGAGGAGCTGGTGGATTTAGTCGGGTGGTGTTTCCTGAAGCGTGCTGTTCGAGGGGGTGTCCACAAGCCTTGCTGCCCTCTGCCGAGGAAGCACCGCCTCCTGCTGTCTGTCCTGACTCCGGCTGCTCCTGATGCCAGAACACTCCAGCTGCTTTCCTGCCCCCTTCCTGGCCTTTTCCAAAATTATTCTTAGAAACTGCCACCATGTTCAGAAATGCCTCACCTTTTTTTAAAAAAGGGATTTATTTATTTTTCTTGGACAGGCAGAGAGGAGAAACAGAGAGAGAATGATCTTCCATCCACTGGTTCACTCCCCAAATGGCTATAGTGGCCAGAGCTGAGCTAATCCAAAGCCAGAAGTCAGGAGCCTCTTCCCACATCTTTCTTGTGGCTGCAGGGTCCCAGAGCTTTGGGCCATCCTCTGCTGCTTTCCCAGGCCATAAGCAGGGAGCTGGATGGGAAGTGGAGTAGCCAGGACAAAACTGGTGCCTATATGGTAGCTGGTGGTTCCAGGTGAAAGATTAGCCAATTGAATTTTTGCACTACCCTTGAATTTTATTTTAATTTATTCTTCTTCAAAAAAGCACCTCTTGGCACTCATTGAATCCAGATAGGCTTTTGAAGACACCTTCTTGTTGTGTCTCATAATTAATTTGGTAACTAGAAAATGACCCCCCGACCTTGCGTGTTGTTCCCTGCTTGAGTGCCCCTGACGGAGCCCTGAGGGGAGTGTCTGGTAAACCTGACAACAGGTACTTATGGTTCCACGTAGAGGTGACGCTGTGGGACCAATGCGCTCCCTTTCCGGGCCGGCCTTGCAGGTGCAACAGATGGCATTGGGAAAGCCTATGCCGAAGAGCTGGCAAGCCGCGGACTCAACATCATCCTCATTAGCCGCTGTGAGGAAAAGCTGCAGGCTGTGGCTAAAGACATAGCTGACACCTACAAGGTAGAGACGGATGTGATAGTCGCCGACTTCAGCAGCGGCCGAGAGATCTATGTGCCCATTCGTGAAGCCCTGGAAGACAAAGACATTGGCATCTTGGTAAACAACGTGGGTGTGTCCTATCCCTACCCGCAGTATTTCACGCAGGTCTCAGAGGACAAGCTCTGGGACATCATAAACGTGAACATCGCCGCCGCGAGCCTGATGGTCCGCATGGTGCTGCCGGGGATGGTGGAGAGGAAGAGAGGCGCCATCGTCACCATCTCGTCTGGCTCCTGCTGCAAACCCACTCCCCAGTTGGCTGCGTACTCTGCTTCGAAGGTCAGGCATCCCCCGAAATGGACACTCAGCCAGCAGGGCATCTGTTAGCACTGCTGGGGCAGAGCACGGGGCCCCTGGTCACGGCATCTGTTGGCCCAGCGTGGGTTGGGTCAAAGTCATGGAGCCCCTGGTCACAGCACGAGTTGGTTGTAAGTGTGTCTGTCTGTCTTCTGAATTTCAAGTTTTCCTAAATGAAGAGCCTTTTCCTCTACTCTGTTCTAACAGGCTTACCTCGACCACTTGAGCAGAGCGCTGCAGTATGAATACGCTTCCAAAGGCATCTTCGTGCAGAGCCTCATCCCGTTCTATGTAGCCACCAACATGACTGCACCCAGCAGCTTTCTGCACAAGTGCCCATGGCTGGTGCCTTCGCCAAAAGTATACGCACATCATGCTGTCTCTACCCTTGGAATTTCCAAAAGGACCACAGGATACTGGTCCCATTCTATTCAGGTAGCAGTGTGCCTCCAGTTCTCTTAAATAGATCATGCATTCTAAACCTTGTCCATGACACAGGACATGTGGCTGAAGCCAGAAGTGCAAAGATGAACATGGCAAAGTTTACGTAATAATTTCGGTGAAGGTATTAAGAACTTTGACAAGTCAGCCTAGCAGGAGAAAAGACTGAGACGTTTGTTTCACTCACCTTCCCCCGGCCTGCTAACCCTCTGCAGCCTACGCGGAGGCTCCCACACACAGGCTCAAGTGTGGCTACTCTCCTGCAGTTTCTGGTAGCCAGGGACTTGGCCTTCCCTTCCAGTAACTGGTGTTAGCTGAAGGGATTGAGGAGGCAGTCCCTTGGGCTTATTTATCCAGTCCTGGAGGACTCGCTTCCTCTCTCCTCCTCTGTTAGGCCCTGTCTGCTCAGGGCCGGCACGGATTGCCTGAGCTCAGTCAGAAGCCCGGTCAGGGGCTTTCGTTACTGAGTGAGGTGCCCTGCATGGCCAGACTGTGCTTGGCAAGAGTGTGCCCACAGTATTGCTCAGCGCACAAAACCATTGTGCTGTGTGCGGGATCAGGAGATCTGTTGGAGAGGGCAGGGTTCCCCCCTCCAGCCGAGTCCGTCTCTGGAGTGGCTGCTTCCTGCTGTGGGCACGTGCCGTGCGTTGCACTGGGTGAAACAGCCTCAGCCTCTGCTCGTCACAGATACCTGCGCACCCACCCCCAGCGAGGCAGCCAGATGTGTTTCTGGATGTTGCCTTATGTCCCCTGGTAGAGACCCCTGGAACCAGGGCACAGAGCAGCATCAGCAGAATCCCCTCCTGGTTCCCTGAGCCCCTCATCTCAACTCAAGACATTTCCAAGATCCTAGCATTGGATTCTCTGAACTGCTCCATCTGGCCCTCAGACCCTGTTGTTCTCGCACAGGACTTGGTGTGTACATCTCTGCATCCCACCTGCTTTATTGCTCAAGTGGATTTGTGGTTCTCGAACAGTGCATATACTGTTCATGTCACATTAGGATGGAATCTTGTTACTTGTGCAGGTCTATCCAGCCTCTTAAGAAAGGGGGTGGAGGAGTGGGGATTGTGTTTCTGTTTTCCAGGGCCTCCAGGATAGACGTGTGTGGGGACACAGTCCCCAGTAACCCTTCACAGGGTTGTGGTCCACTGGGGATGCAGCCCCCAGTCACCCCTTCACGGGTTGTGGTCCACTGGGGACGCAGCCCCCAGTCACCCCTTCACGGGTTGTGGTCCACTGGTCTGTGGACCTGCTCCTTCTGGGTCGATGATTTGAGGTTCTAACTGTGCTGTCTTTCTCTTTGTTTCTAGTTTCTTTTTGCACAGTACATGCCTGAGTGGCTGTGGGTGTGGGGAGCAAACCTTCTCAACCGTTCGTTGCGCAAGGAGGCCTTATCGTGCAGAGCCTGAACCGGGTCAGCCGAGAGCGTAGCCGTTCAGGGTAGCCTGCAGTCTTCCGCCGTTGGGAACACCGACACTTCATTTACGCTGCGTGCTTCTTTGATTGCTGATTGTCTAGTGTAGGAGAGTCGTCATTTGCAAAGCAGACATAATGCTGCCGAGTGCTGTGACAGCCCCTCTGCGGTGCTGCGGCCTTGGGCTTCTGGGGTCTCAGCACCAGCACAGGACACCTGCACTTCCAGGCTGCTCCAGGAGCTGTGGCAGTCAGAGACTGGAATGTTACATGATGTGTCAGCTCTTAAAATTCTTTGTGCTGGCTGTTAAGGGAAACAACCTACCTTCCCTTTCCAGATGACTTACAGTATTGGGTCTCAAATATTCATCAGGAAAAACAATTGAGAAGTGTTTTGTGACTGAAATTGCTGGTGTTATTAGCAGTAGACGTCTGTATGTGTGCTGTTGTGTAGCCCCAGCTGTTGTCCTGTATGTGAAAGCTCAGCTCTTGCACAGAGGCTTCGGCAGAGAACCCTGTGTGGATGTGTTGCCGGAGTGCCTCGGGCTGTGGTCACTCCACAGAGGCGCCTGGAGGAAGCTGAACTCGGAGCCTTACGCGGCGTTCCAGAATTGGACCGTTCTAGTAAATGAGGCTGCCCAGCTCTGGGCCTTGGCTCTGCCATGTGTGCCACTTCCTCTACTATGTCTTTGTGTTTTCTAATGTATGGAATAAATTCATTTCTAGATGTAGCTATGGGTGACCCTCAGCCATCTTTGGATTTGGAAGATAATTATGGTGAAGCAGTGGTTCCTCAGCCTGTGAGCCACTGTGTAAGTGAAATTTATCCTTAGAGCTCTTTATGTAACATTAGTCTGTTCCACCAGCATTACTGATATAAACATCTGGTATTTGAGGAATGGTAGTTATGGACAAATTATGTGTGTGATGTGTAGCTGTTGAACTAAGTTAGCAGCTCATTCTTGGTTCCTGCAGTGAGATTCTGTGCCGTGGCGTGTGTTTACTGGCTTGGGTTGGCACTGAAGCCTACTGTGAAATGTCTTTAATTTTGCTCCTACAAATGCAGCTGTTCTGGAGGACCACATGCCTCGTGCTTTAAAATCTGTAAGTCACTGCATCGATCGGACTGTGTGTCATTAGAATCCAGAGCCTAGGAGTGTGACGTGGGTGAAGCACTACTGCATGGGCTCAGAGTCGGACTTGTGTGGAACTGTCTCCCGTGCGGTGATGGCCCGCTGCAACAGACCCGCTCTGAGAGGCACACTTGGTTGTTGAGCACACGGTCCTGCCTGTGACATTGCCCCGTGCTATTCCAGCTGAGATTGGTTAAATTCCACAGTTCTACTCTGAGATCCTGACTTCAAAATCTAAGATGTGCAAAACTACACACTGGGGATATTACATCAAACCAAAGGTTTTGTGGAATTAGTTTGGAATCCTCTTAATTTCATGTCATGTTGATCTGAGCTTTAGTTGATGTGTAATAAATAGCAACTTATGTGAAAGCATTGTCAGATTATCACGTGTACAGTTGTGTCTGACACTTAGGTAAGGGCTCGCTGCTGTGTGATGACACCCAGCCGACCCACTCGTCAGCCACGGGTCGCCCTCTCCTGGGCCTGGGCGAGTGTGCTGAGTGTCGTGGCGCTGGCGGAAAGCTGTCAGCGCCTTAGTGCAGGATCGGACCAAGAGTTTCCATAGGGCTCTCAGTTTTCATTAAATACCTCTGCTCCCAGCTCCTTTGGGAGTTCATTGGACCACTGTGGATGGAGTTGCTTAATAAAATGTAGGAAATAAGACCCTCTGAAACTTAATCTTTGAATTCAAAGTTTAATACTAAAAACGGTTGCTTCTGTCTCCTCTGGAAGAGACTTTGGTCCAAATGTAAGTTACATTTTTCCCCCTGTAGAAATGCTCACAAAAATTTAACCTGTGAGCACATGGGATCCATATCATTAAAGCTGATGTTTCCATCACAATATTGTATGTCACAGTGTGCTTGTGAACCTGTGGAAGCAACTAAGTTGATTTCCTGGTGTCATTCCCCGTAGATTCAGTAAAATGAGCACTTCTTGGGTCACTGCATTTGCTGTGTGAAGACTGTTGATATTGCTGTGAGCCATTTAATTGAGTGGAGAGGGGAGCAGAAAGCTGGGTTGTAGGGGATTCTAGAAAGAGTGTGAGGAGAGACTAGCAATGCTTCCAGGAATCTCTTTGTCTTCCTGTGAGGACGTAAGATCATGGTTGGGAACCAGAGGGTTAGTTGGTGTGTCCTCTGAGCCCAGCTGCACACAGTCCCTGCCTCCGAGTGTTTCAGTTAGGGACTGTGCGGCTTTGCAGTGGTGTGAAAGCACGCTTGATAGAAACTGTGCACGGAGGTTTTATCTTTCCTGTTCCCAGGCTAAGCATGTTCAGCAGAACCCTCACCCAGGGCATGAGTGTGTCTGCTGCAGATTGGCTCTAGGACACACCCACCTTGGGGCCTGACGGCTTTCCTATAAAATGTAGGGGGATTTGCTTATAACTTAAGCACATCCACCTGAAGACTTTTTTTTTTTTTAAAGATTTTCATTTTTATTTGAAAGGCAGATTTTACAAAGAGAGCAGAGAGCTCTTCCATTCACTGGTTTACTCCTCAGCTGCAGCATCTGGAGATGAGCCAGTCCACACCCAGGAGCTTCCTTTGGGCCTCCCACCTGGGTGCAGGGTCCCAAGGACTTGAGCCATCCTCTGCTGCTTTCTCAGGACACAAGCAGGGAGCTAGATGGGAAATGGAGCAGCTGGGACACAAACAATGCCAGTGTTTGCAGTGAGAGGATTAGTCTGATATGCTACTATGCTAGCCAGCACCTCTACAACTTTGACATCCTTTCCATATTACTTGTAATACCTTACACAATGTAAATATTCTATAAATCACTATTATTTTCTATTGCTTAGAGAATAATGACAAGGGGAAAGAAAGACTGTACTTCCTGTTCGGTACAAATGGGGTTTCTGCCGAGTGTTTTCAGCCTGCGGCTGCTTGAGGCCGAGGACACAGAGGCCCCAGGGACGAGCTGCCCAGCTGGAGGCACCGGGAGGGCTCCTAGCACCTGCCAGGTGGGTTAGGGCGACCCAAGCATCACCAGGAAAGTTCCCACGCACAGGTAGTAACTGCATAGTCCATCCAGGAGCACCTGCTGGGGCTTGAAGTTAGGCTTTCTTCTCATTTCTTAAAAATTTGCACTTGTTTAATGTTTAGAAAGTCAAGCAAAAGATAGTCCTGAATGCAAGAGAAGTATTTCATGCAGTTCCTATGGTGGGGTTGAGAGGAAAGCATATGTAAACGGAATGCACCCTTCCCCTGCCGGATGAAGATGTCCTCTGCCTGCCCCAGGGCTAAGGATACATGCAAAAAGCACCAATGCAGCACTTGGGAGCAGGGCCAGTCTCAGGCGCTGGCAGGAGGAGGCCCAGCAGCGGCAAAGGCTGGACTCAGCTCTGCCACTAGCTCAGCAAGGTGGGGGAGTCTGGGAGCTGGCCCAGCTGTTGCAGCAGCCATTCTTGGAGGAGGTGCAGGTCACACTGCCGCTAATGGTGGACACAGGCTGAGCTTGGGATGCGCCTGGAAAAAGGCGACCTACAGGAGCCGTTACTGCCTTGCAGGTGCAGAACCAGGGGTGCAGAAGGAGTTGAGAACTCAGGGTGATAAGGCAATTCGCAGGTCATCTGCTGTGTTTAGCGTGATTAACGTAACCCTTAAGTTACAAGCAGAAGAACTAAATAGTCCTTTGAAGATTTGAAAATTACAAAGCTCAAATTCACGGAGATCCAAGTTTTGGGAGGGACTTCATTTAAGGAATTACACAAGTAACTAAGGTATTAGTATCCCTAACTGGGCTGACAAAGCTGAGATACAGCGGCTTCTCAGCTCGGATCCGTTTCTTCGGAAAGGGTCCACACTGCGCGCTCCGGGCCCCCGACACGCAGATGGGCTCCGACTAGAGCCCCGGATGGGGGCCCAGAGCCCTCGGCCCACCAAGCCCGCCGCCCCTGTGCCCATCACGGCCCTCGCCCCGCCGCCCCCTTGGACCTCCACGGCCCAAGGCCCGCCGCGCCCTCGGCCCGCCCCGCGCGTTCCCCGCCCAAGGCCGCAAATGTCGCGAGACCTCGGGCCGTCCTCCCGGCCCCGGCTCGCGGCCCTCGCGGCGTCCGGAGCGCGCACGCAAGCCCCGGGCGCGCGGGGCACGCAGGGCGCGCAGGGCACGCCGGGCCGGCGGGGCTCGGGGTGCGCGGTGTCGCGAGAGTTGGAGGTAAACAGCCCCGAATGGAGCGCCGAGGCGTGCTGGCCGCGGCGGCGCCGTGTCCCCGGGCTTGAGGCGGCCCCAGGTAGGTTGGGGTCCGCGCGCTCGGCCGGGCCGCTCCCCAGGTCCCTCCGCACGGGGCCCGCGGCGGACAAGGCCGGCGCCCCGCGACCCCTGCGAGTCGCCGTGCGGGGTGGGGAGCCGCGCGGGCCGCGGCCTCCCGCACGGGTCTGCGGCAGCCGGGGAGGACCGCAGCCTGCGCTGCCCGCACAGCTGGTCTGCTTAAAATAATAATAACCGTCATGGTGCTGTGGCAGGCCGCGCAGGTGGGACCCCCGGGGGTGGCTGCCCGAGCCAGAGCGCTGTCGACCCGGCGGAGCTCGCCCGCAGCGCCGAGTTCCATCCCCGTTATTATTATTGTTATTTATTACTTGAGAGAGTGACAGGGAGGCCCCAGCCGCCGCGTGCCTCCCCCACATGCCCGCTGCCACCGCCACCAGGCCAGCAGTGCAGCTGTCGCCCGTGGGTGCCCCGTGCGGTGTGCCAGGCGGGAGCCCAGGGCTGGAATCTGGGGGAACGTGGCGCTTCCCTGTATTTCGGGGAGACCCCTAACAACCCCAGTTTGTTAGGAACGCCGAGGGGCTTGGGGCTGGGTCTTGCTTGGAGTGTGCAGCCAAGGCAGGGGCTTAAACAGGAACAGCATCTCCCCCATCCCTAGTTTTTTCTTTTCAGACTCCCACACCTTCCCCGCTTAAAAATATATATATATATATAGTTGGTGGAGGTGAATTTACACACTCGCGAGGTGTGTGTTGTAAGTGAAGTGTCTACCAGTTTCTCACGTGTTGGGCAGTCATGACCACCAAGTCACTGAACGTTTCCGTGGCCCCGGGAAGGCAACCCCGGTCGCAGACACGTATGGACTGGTGTGCGCACTGTCTTTCCTGAGTATTTACCAGTCCTGCGGTAACTGGTCCTTCAGGCTCTGTTTTTCCAGCGCTCACCTGCATCGTGGCGTGAGTCTCCTCCTGTAGGCAGTGTGCGTGGTCTGGATATACCGCGCTTTAGGACGCTTTGCTGAGAGCGTCAGGTGCTATGTGGTGTGAAGTCGGTGCAAGAAGGGCTGTTTGTTGGGAGTGGGCACTGGCCCCTGCCCCCCCCACCTCCGTTGCCCCCAGGTGCCCCTTTCAATCTGAGTGAGGTCCTGGTGTGCACTCAAGAGGGAGCAGGGGTCCTGGAGGTGCTGGGAGCCAGGTGGTGCTTTCCTTGCTGCGCGTTTTTATTTAAAAGCAATTTTTAAATTTGTATTTGAAAGTGATGTTGGAGAGGAAAAGGCAGAGAGAGTGAGCGCGCGAGAGGGTGCAGCCACTGGTTCCTTCCCCAAATGGCTGCAGTAGCCAAGACGGGGCCAGGTGGAAGTCAGAAGCTTCATCTGAGTCTCCGCGTGGGTGCAAGGGCCCGAGCGCTTGGGCCATCCCCTGCTGCTCGCCCAGGTGTGTCAGCAGGCGGCTGGATGGGACGAGCAGCGGGACTTGAACTGGCGCCACTCCGGTTGGTGTGTTTAGCATATTGGCTTTGCCCTGGTGCCAGACGCTGATTGCACTCATTGGAAGATCAGACAGCTTCAGCCCCTGCTGACGTGACTGCGGAGGGCTGGTGTGGAATCTGATATGTGGGCGAGGACTGAAGACCCTGCGGCTGCTTGTAGTGTTTGGCCTGTGGCCGAGTAAGGTGGTCCTGGAGGTGGGCTGCGGCTCCTCCCTGCCCTGTCGGTTTTCACGCGTGTGGAGAACCAGCAGCTGACTCGTTCTTCACCTGGCCCGTGTCCTTCTGCTGAAGCAGATGGACTTCAGTGAGTGACGACAGTGGGAAGTTGCAAGGGCCCCACGCCCGGCCCGCCAGCGCCACGGTGAGAGGCCGGAATGGCCGAGAGCAAAAGGTGAAGCCGCGGGCGGTGACAGACGCGTAGGCCAAGGTTCTCACTGTTGACACATTGGGCTGGACGCCTGATGGGCAGAATGTGCCAGAAGAAGCGGTTCGGTTAGGTTTAAGAATACACCTTTATTTTAAGATGATGTGTCCTGGCATTGCTTAATTGTTAGCCTATTAAACAATGATGACCCAGCCAAGTCTGCAGTTAGTTTGGAGGTGGTAGTTTCCAGTCAGCTTTGAATCGCGCTCTAAATGCAATTCAGTATTCGGAGTTATTTTGGGAACTTGGTTTATTAAAAAGCAAGGCAGAGCTACATAATTAGATGATTATTGGGTGATACAAGTCATTTCCTTTCATCTTAGGTTCTTTAATTACTTTCAAAAAATTATTTCAAATATGTTGTATACCTGTAAGTATAATCTCCATGGTCCGTCAGGGGTGTGGGCAGTGTGGGCCGTCGGCGGACCCGCTTCCGGGTGCCGCAGGAGAGCCTTCCTCTGCTCGTCTCCCTCTTATCCACGCCCGTCACCGCTTGTCATTGAAACTGATTGCACGTGTGTTCAGGCTGTAATCGCGTTTGCAGAGAATCCGTCCGTTTTTCAGGGTGTGCCTTTGTGTGAGAAGGTCACCAGGGCTCTGTGAATGCCCCGAGCACACCATGGGCCCCTCGGAATGCACAGCCGGGTCTCCGCTCTGCTCTGCAGAGGCCGGGCCCTTGAAACTCCATCATGTGTTGGAATGAAATTAAAGCCAATATGTCAGAAAAGTGACTTTTTAATCTTTCAGTGTATTTTTAGAAGATTTATTAAAATGCTTGTATATGTTTTGTCCAACTGTAAAATAACATTTCTGTTTGTAAAAATATAAACAAATTAGGCTGAAGCAGAAAATGTTATGTACGCACACTGATGAAAGGTGGAGCCACAGTTCATTACTATTTGATGTCTTTCAGTGTGACTTTTCCTGTACATATTTTAAAAAATCCGGACCTGAGTCCTGTGTGTAAACTGTTCCACTCAGCTTCTTGTCATTATTTTCCCACATTTGGGTTGTTGCTGTAAGAGGTCGCCACAGAGAGAGGCAGAAACCAACACGTAGTACTTGCTTTACTGTTCTGGGGTCAGAAGTCCAGGCTGGGTTTCGCTGGGCCCCATGGCGGTGCGGGCAGGGCTTGCTCCTGGGAGGCCCTGCGGAGGCCCCGCTTCCATCCGTTCTCAGCTGCCAGAGGCCACCTGCATGCCCAGACTTGGCCTCCTGCTTTCCTGCCCACGTCTGGCCACTCTCTGGCCACCCTCTGGCCCTGACCCTCTGGGTGGCAGCGGAGGCTCAGGTCCACAGTTAGCCACAGCCCAGAGCACTGTGACCTTGTCAGGTGCCCAGTGTTGGTTCTGGGCGTGAGGATTGGGATGGATGTCTCTGGCCTCTGGAGGAGCCTCCTTTGCCTTGGCCCTGTGGCATTCCCTTGTGGGATGTGTTATGGTTCCTGGGTCAGTCTGCTGTTTGTACCTTAGTTGTCCAGTTTCTCTGTTATGAGCCTGCAGGACACTCCTGGGGTGTCCATCACCCTGAGGTTCCGAGGGAGGCCTCAGAGGGCAGGATTCCATGGCCTGAGGCACCTGACCCCGGGCCAGGCAGCTGCCTCTGACTGACCCGGCCCGCAGGCATGGGCTTAGCATCTCGGGCTGCTGCATTTTCTCGTCTGAAAATGAGAGCAGACAGATTATTGTGAGGATTCAATGAGTTGGTACTTGCAAATGACTTTAGAAACATGTCTGCCCAAAACTAACACCGAAGGAGTTCCTGAATTTATTAGGCCCATTTTTTTAATGTTCATTTAAAAAGTTCAACCTTTTGAAAAAGGATTAATTATTTTGTTTATTATTTTTAAAATTATTTTATGGTACAGTTCCATAGGCCTTGGGATTTCCCTTGGCTCCACTCCTAGTCCCCTCGCCCCCCACCGAGTTCCCCTATATCGTTACTGTAGTATAGCTCATGCAGTCATATGTCCATCATTGCGGGCATCGTTGGTCTGGAAGTAGAGGTGCACACTGCATTGTATCCTCACATCTGGATATGATAGTCTCCATTACACAGTTACTACACATCCCCTTAAGTGAAAAGCCACAATACAAAATCAACAACAGGAAGAAAAATAGAAATTTGTAATGCCACGAATTTCTCAAGAGGTTTTGATAGTTCAGCAGTCCTGAATTGCTGTCAGTCCCACCGCTCCAATTGCAAAGAGATCTCTCCAGAGTCCAGTGGCTGCTGTGGTCCGCTGTAGAGTCTCCATCTGAAAATGATGAATTCTTGAAAGGTGGCGTGACAGGAGTAAGAGATCTTCTGTCTGCTGGTTCATTCCCCAAGTGGTTGTCCTGGCCAGTGGTGGTCTCCCACGTGGCGCAGGGGCCTGAGGACGTGGTCATCCTCCACTGCTTTCCCAGGCGTGTGAGGGAGCTACCTCCACATCAGTCCCGTGTCCATTCTCAGCAGTTCCAGTACAGATCGGCAGATTGCCAACTTACATGATTCTAGGAGCTTTAAGAAGCACTTACCCGTGACTTGTGGGAATACTTGTTTTACTAGATTTGCTGAATTCTTCAACATGATTTGCATTCTGTATTGGGTTTTCAATTTTTTTTCTGCCAAAATGTTGGTAGTTTTTATTATATAAATCATAGAAAACAGGTAACGTCTAGTAGAAATTTACAATGAACCTTTTCAAGAAATATTTCAGGGGCCGATACTGTGGCTGGATGGGTTAAGCTGCTACCTCTGCCGGTGGGGACCCACATGGGTGCTGGTTTTAGTCCTGGCTGGCCCACTTTCTGTCCAGCTTTCCGCTGACACACCTGCAGGCAGTTCCCTGGTACCCAGCTTGGGGACTGGAGTTGAACTCCAGGCTCTTGACTGTGACCTGGTGCAGGCAGCCATTGGGAAGTGAACTAGTAAATGGAAGATCTTTTTTTTCTTCCATTTTCCCTCCCTCAAGTTTGCTTTTTAAAGTTAAAAACAAAATTCTGTGAGATGTGGGTGAGCCGTTGGGTCTGTGTTTTGTCCCCTTGGAGATCAGACATTTTAAAAGACGCGTGCAGACTTTCTTGTCTTGCCAATATTCCCCAAGCAGTATAGCATGGTAAGTATTTACA